GCTTTTGCCATGGTCTCCAACCCTCCTCGTTTTTCAACCAGGCTTGGGACCGGTAGCGGCGGAGTTGAGTTATATTTCTGAAATATGAAACGCAGGTCAGCGCAGAAGTCCCTATTTCTTCCTTTGCGGTTTCACATATTTGCAGCATGGCTAAGAGCCTCTTTTCGTGTACCGCATGTCCTTTAAGAAGATTGTTGAATCTGTTGATTGACTAGCAGAGGTGCAGACGTATTCGATGATTGTCCACCTTGGTATTGATGATGTTTGGTTCCCTTGAGACACATTTATTATAAGTCTTTTCAGAATATTACAATTCTGCCCGGCTCGAGTGACAGTTGAAGTGCATCGATTGCTAGGCGTTTTGCATTGCCAAACAACTGAGTTATTGCGACTGATGGGCACTTTGTACAATATAAACAAAATGAAAGATTTCGGATGGCCTTAAACATTATACAATTACTTGTATTGAAGACAGGTTTTCCTCTTAGCCATAAGTCAAGAAATGCTTTTCTTTTGGTGAGTATTTTCGATTTAGGACTTTGTTCTGACGCCAGTTTCACTCCAGGAGAGTGCAAACACACGGACGATTGTCCTGTAGGGTACGAATGTAACGAAAAGCGGATCTGCTGTCCACGAGCCAGTAAGAGTCCAAAAAATCGGCACTCCGGATACTGCCGATTCTATCCTTCGGCTCCGCAGAATTTTCCTCAGTTCGACGCTTGCTCGAAAGACAGCGATTGTCCGAAAGGTCTTAAATGTTGCTTCGCCACCGTGGGTCGAAAGTGTACTGTCCCTTCTAATACGCCTCCAGGTGATGCATTGGAAAATCACGTAACGTTTACACAAAGTTGCGGATGACGATGCTTTCAGATGTTCGTAAAGCCGGATCTTGTCCTCCGTTTTTCGCCGCAGAAGACACTGTTCGTTGTAAGAAGGATAACAACTGCCCATCGCGGATGGTGTGCTGCGAAATCTCTGGCGGACGCTATTGTTTACACCCGGACTATCGACCATGTAACGTTTATTAATTTAATAGTTATGTTGATTTTGCCTTATGGTAGATGTCATTTCTAGTAACTTGTCCAGGAGGAAGTTTGGCCTCATCAAAATGCATCAGTTCAGACCAGTGCTCAAGCCGAGAAATGTGCCTCAATGGCATATGCTGTCTGACGAACAAGTCTGACGTGCAATATAAGCCGGGCTTTTGCTCTTCTTTATCCATGAATAACGTCCGGAGTGCTGTCTATGATCGTTGTTTCAACGACCATCAGTGTCCAGGCAAAATGAAGTGTTGTCCGTCATATTCTGGATTTCAGTGCGAGCTTCCCGTCTCATCGCCCACTGGTAAGAGTCAAAAGTAGTGATTGCTTAATTGAAATACTCTAACACGTGTCTAAAATGATGAAGTATGCATATCTCTGCATGAATTTGCAGCTTCTTTTAATACTGCTTTATACTGCTAACGATGATCTATCACGATGTCATTTCAAGTGAATATGCATAGCTTATTTCTCTCCTTTCGAATTATCACGTGTCATCAACATGCTATGTATCTAACCATCCAATCTCGAACGGAGCTCACATTCTTCGTCACACCGGACAGCCTCGTTGATCGACTGATGACTCATTGAATCTACTGTTCTGTCGATATTTTTCTGACTGAGCTGAGGCCAGCAGCTGGTTTCTTTACTATATTCGATTGCAGAATAATCTGATTTAATGAAAAGTTGTCTTGCATATCAGTATTTTTTCAGACTGAGACAGTCAGTCAATCGCTCAGGTTAATTTAGATTAACCGTTAGGCACCCGATAAGTTGGAAAAACTTTGAATATACCTATGAACAAGTATTAAACAACAAAAGCATCATTAAAAGGATCCGTATCAGGCTGGTCATAAGTTCGGTCAAAAAATAGTAGTTCCATTATTGGGATCGATCAAACATCAGGCAGCGAATGGAGTGACTAACCTTCGGTAAGACTTAGTTCGATACCTTGGCTTGCATTCCATGGCGAAATGCTGATGATCGCTTTCGTATGACTTATACTTTTCGGAACAGTTTGAACACCATGTCAAGTTGATCCTTGTTATTATGCCACCACCGCACGACTTAGCTTTCCCGTTACAATCAAGGCGGAAACTAACGAAGCCTTCTAAACATATCATTTCCCATCGTCAGAGCTTTTGGTAAGAGAATGATGCAAATGTTGCTGAAAGGCGGAACAATATTAAATGCCTTAAGCTCATCAAACTTCAGCAGATAGCACAGCAGGTGTAGAAAAACGCAAGTCTTTGTTCTTCTTCAGCCACATCTGGCCATCTGAATGCTTCCACCAACTGTTATAAAGAGAATAAGAACGAAGAAACAAAAAATCTAACAGTTGGCTGAATGCGCACGATGTTGACCCACATCATAGCTTTCGTCTAATAGGCGGGGGTGGCAGTAGGTGAATGAGTTTTACGGAGAATTTCACTAAACTCCAAACCCTCCTCTTTTGTTATTCAGACTTGCGGACGGCAACGGCAGAATTAAACCTCATGCTGGCTATTCCATTGCATAGTCAACCATCAGATGGGTCAAGGTGAAGTGCAGCCACGCGGAGCATTTGTATCAGACATCATGGCCGTATACCTCATTCATTCTACTTTGGACACACCGGAACACCATTCTGCACCTGTTGTTCACAATTAATGGCTTACTCTCGTTTTTCGAAGCAATATTGGGTAAATTATTTGCACGTGGGTACTCGCGGAAAAGACAAACTTTTTTATTCCGCATTTGCACCAAGCACCTCCGCAGTTCGAAGCAGACCTTTGCCACTGCGTCACAGTAAGATGAAGCACACTAACACTCCATTCAGAAACAGAAACTCCCACTGTAGCGATTCTAACATAAATAGTGGAAGCTGCTTCATGGTTTCGTTCCTTCAACGAAGTTTGCACTTCAGCGAAACTGCGAAGATCACATTAACGAGGTTAATCTCTAAATTAGTGTTACCCTAGCACGCTTTCTCTTATTGGAACTCTGTTGCATATTAGGTATCTCCCTAAAGACAGGTCGAGCATGATTCAAGACGTTGGAAAATATGTACGCCATAAACCCCCCTATGCTGTGCCATCAAATCAATAATTGTTTTCAAATTAAAATCTATCTTATCATAACGTCTTCTATTTTATGTTACACCTGCATATATGGTATGAATTTGCAATTCATTCCTGAATATCAGTATTAGCGGATAAACATAGGTAATTTTGAAAGTACCCAAAACCACGTCTCGAAACTCATTGACTCTCAAAGAATCAAACAATTTTCCCTAAGTTTCCTGCATATTTATTCATTCATTCCTTTCATACTTTTTTCAGGAGGTAAAATTGGCGACTGCCCAAATGACGACACGTCTTTTAGCAGCAACGTTCTGAGCTGCCAAACGGATAATCAGTGCTATCAGGACTTGAAATGCTGCAGTACTTCTCTCGGAAAACGCTGCGTGACTCCGGACTTTTCACGAGGTATACTAATTAGCATATTAACATAATTCCGTAGCCATTTTAAAATGAGCATCAAAATAATTTGCTTATTAGCATGAATGCAGTTATCTCATTTTACTTAATGTCTACCTACACGAATAATGGTAACAAATCATCATTAGTTTTTAACTCTCCAGTGTTTTAGCAGCAGCACAAGTATGTGTCGTCATCAGAGGCATGGGATGATTTAGGAAAAGATTTTTAGTGAAGCGGTTTTGCTCCAGTGTAACGCAGATGCTGGAATACCATGGAGCCGTAGCTTGCTTAAATGGTACCCCTTGCTAGCAGGCTCAAGCAGATGGTTCGACTACGCCGCGTAAATCCACGGAACTGGCAGAAGATTTCTTTCGTTTTCTTACTTCTGCTGACCATTTAATCAAAAGACTCATGTGCTTCACCGACTCGCGGCACCTTATAAGTGCTTTTTTCAGGAGCTTGTTTAATAATGGCCTATATTGCTTTAATCTCGTTGTATGCTTTTAGTAAAATGTCCTGACGGTAGTCTATCGTCGATTTCCTGCGACAAGGCGCATCGACCCTGCATGACCGGAATGAAATGCGTAGGTAATCTCTGCTGCCCAGAATCGACCACTAGCGTTGTGCCAAAGTTCGGCAACTGCCCGCCAGTACCACAGCCGATTGGTCGTCAGCCATATTACCATATGTGTTACAAAGACCATGACTGTCCAGCTACTCTGAAATGTTGTTTTACCCTGCAGGGCAGACAATGCCTTTTCCCAAATATGGGCAACGATTTAAAGAAACAGCCAGGTAACCTTTTTCATCGCTTTAGCAAAGTGAAATATTGTACATTCATGATCCTTCAGAACACACTAGTTGAATCAGCAATCATACAAAGACAGGAGTTAATGAAAACAATATCGAAATAAGAATACAATTTATGTTTACACATACAGTCATGCGTTTTAACGAATGAGGTAACTATTCGGGGATGAGGGAGGCAAACAAAAAACCAGCACAAGTTTCATTACCAATTATCGCCTTGTGCATAAAGTCACTTTAAAAACTATGTAAATCATGGTATCATCGGTGTTGGAAGTTTATAATAAAAATCTACCACTTCTCAAGAATTGTTTCCAGCAGCATTAGTTCACAGCATTAATTTATGAAAGCGGCTTATTCTAGTTCATACCAAAAGCCAGAGTCAAGGAGTAGTTTCGTATATCATATCATATCACTCCTTACAATCTGCTGAAAGCATTATGTTTTGGCATCTGTCTTTGGAACAAATTCCTGTTCATCAGCCACTTCAAATTAACCAATTGCCTTTAAATTCCACAATTCAGTCATCCCATTATGTCGAAGATTATTCTTCATTTTCACTTGGATCACTTGGCCCGGCTAGTAATCTGAAGTGAATCGCACCGATTGCAACACGCCCCTATTCCTCGCGGATTCAGTCCTTCTCCCTCAATGCGCGTCCTTCCTGGCCCATGATATTGTCTTCTTTAGTGGGCGACCAAGCGGGCTAGTCCGCCCGCTAGGGTAACAACTGACGGCAATTGCAGACCATCTCTCGTCATTGAACCGAGTAACGTATCAGTCTATTGTAGCATTTCCTTTCTGCTTTGGAAGATAACGTCTTTCAATCTTGCCCGCCGTTTCATCCGAGTGCTCAGAATGTACTCACGAAGTGAGACTCCCAACATTCTTCTTTCCGTAGCTCTCTCGGTGACAGATAGTCACTGCTCTTCGGTTCTCGTCGGTGCCCATGTCTCACAGTCATACAACATGCCGGTTAGACGGAGGAATTAAAGAGGTGGGCGCTGGATTCTTTCCTGATGCTGCCAGTGAGAACGCCCTTGATGGAGTGGAATGCTTGCCAACCAGAACTCATTGTTTTGGTCGGGCCATGCCGCATGACATTTTTGCCATCTAACGCTACCTGGGCATTCGCCAGAGCACCTGATCGCCGTATCCTCCTTTTTAGCGGTTGATTTGCAGTCCCACCCCTGTCCCGTTTCCTTCAAACTATTGCAGCATGCTATGTAGCTGACTGACGTTTTCCACAAACAACACCACGTTATCAGCGAACCTTGGGGGGAGGGGGTGAGCTGTTAACGTATGACGCTAATCCCTCATTTCAATTCATCTTTTGGAACCCATTTCTATACACCCATTGAAGAGTTCTATTAAATGCATATACGTTGTTTCAGACCATTCTACGTGAGAAACCGAGCCAAGTGAGTCTGGAACACGATGTTTGTGAAGCAATTAGAGTTTGTTCCCTTGGGGAGGTTGTCTAACGGGTGTCGATGCCCTCTTCTGTCAGTGCAGTCCACACTGTGTTATGTTTCACAGTGTTTAACGCATTTTCGTAATTGACGAAGGCAAGGCACTGAGGGAGCTGGAATGCACTGGCAAGCTCAAGGCGTTGACTTAGGGTAAAGATGTTACCCGTTGTGAACCCTGCCTGTTCTTTCGGTTGCTCTTCGTTTGGGCTTGTTGACTGTCTTTTGGTAATGGCTGTGGCAAACATTTTCTAGATTTGTGAGAACTGATAGATTGAATGATAGGTCTTCAGATCTTCTTTCTCCACCTCTTTTAACAATACAAACATTTTTAAATACTTCCAGTTGGACGTATCTATTCCATTCCCTGGCAGTAGCCGAATCTTTCTGCTGGAGCCCTCCAAAGCGTTTGACCTTCTCTGATCGTTGTAATTGTCTGACCGTCTCTCTCCGAGGCTCTTCTTTTTTTCATTTGCTGCGCGGCATGACGAGGTTCAATTCTGAAGACTGTGAGTGCACTTCCTCCTTGCTGTTAGATCGCTGGTGGGGGAGGGCGATGCATGACTTTGAATTAAGAAGCTAGGCAAAAACGTTATTGCAGGTAGACTGCATCTATACTCTGTCAGACGTTAGTGCACGATTTCTATTCGTCAGTGCCGTGATGGTACATTGATAAAGCCTTAACTCTCTCCTATATTGGCTGAGGTTTCTATGTGTTTGCCTATTTTCTTTAATTTTCGCAATCGAAAGGTCTCCAAGTCCTCCTTCGATATCCGTCTCATGACCTTACAAAAAATGATGATCGCATCTTTCTCCATCCTCCTTCGCATCTCTAGCAAACTCGTTGTACTGAGATCTTCCTTTCGCTCATTTGGAGGTTACTACCTCAGCTGACTTTTCGCCGCTCCTCAGTTTCTACCGAAGCTTCTTGTAGTTTACGTCGCTGCTACCTTTCGGGTTTCAGTCACTGTCGAATACCTTTAATCTTTTCCTGCGATTTGCCATATGTAATGTCTCCCTCTCGATCACTTCTTACTGAAGATTAACCTGAACCGCATCAGTGCTTAGTAACTGCCGTAGTTAGATGAAGGTATTACTGTTATATCTCGGATGATGCGACGTTCATCGAACAGCAGGAATTCAATCTCGTTCTTCGTCGCCACGTTCGGTGAGATCATGGTCGCCTATTCTTGGTTTTCTTCTAGAACCAGGAGTTGCCAATGCACAGTTGCTTCGTTTTTGTCTTGACCACTAGCTGATCTCTTGATTCGTTTTACTCTTCAGTATTTACGACCATTTCACCGGCTTCTTGTCCAGCATAAGCACTGAAATCTTCCTAACCCGGACACCTGTTTATTTTGGGACCAACGCTTGTTAGAGTTCTTAAAAAAATTCTTCGATTGCCTCCTCTTATTCTGTATCTATGGGAATATATGCTCAGGCAATCTTCATGCCCAGCCTTTATGATTTTACATGGCAGAAAATGAGTTTTGAGAGCGAGGGTTTGCTAACCACGAGTATGATTTCTTCTGAAGTTTCCGCGTTCTCTCCTCTTTCTAGCCAAATTGAACTGCCGCCCTTCCAGAAGTCATTCCTCGCCTTCTTTCGAGGTGCGTTGCAGAGGCCAAGAACGTCGCAGGCCATTAATGAATTTTCCTCCATTGGTTAGTTAACGCTTTTTCCCTCCTAATATTCTGTATTTGTAGGTAACAATGAGGAATATGGCGATTATTCACCTGAAATTCGCTGTAGCCTCTCGTGAGTTGAATACTGAACCCCAGCCGTGGAAGAAGTCGAAATACTCACTGGGGACAGAGGCCGATTCATTTGCTTCCCCATGGTGAATGTAGTTTGCTACACAGTGTCAGGGCGGGCGGTAGCTTGGCGAATTTCGTGAAAACGAACCCCCAGTTTCTCTCTTTTTATAATCGCAGTTGTCTCTTCTGACTTTGGACGAACTCACACTTTCGCCTCGACATTAGTCGGCCATTGAACATTGTGACGTTTTCTCTGATGATCGAACTTGTCGAGCTCGAACCCAGTCACGCCCTAGTGCTCTGGCCGTTGCCTGTTCACAGGTGTTTATTTGTCGTAGCTAAATTCCACAACCCGCGAACGCGTCAGATGATAAGCTGCTGAGCACACTCGAAGATAGTCATAAGATACAACGAATGACGAAATCACAAATTATGTTTAATACATGACATCAGAAAAGTCAGGAGACGTTTGAATCCGATATAAATTTATTGGCTGAAATTTATATAGTAGTGCCACGTAACGAGAGTATCGCTCCTTTCGTTCTCTTTAAGGTTATTACCTCAGTTTCTTTGCGAACTTCCATTAGTCACTGCCACAACTGCATTGCAGGTGCACTTGGAGTACACCTCGTCAAATACCTTCGGTCTATGTTTGCTATTTTCCATCTGCACTGCGTTCCTCTCAATTTTCTCCTCAACGGTTAATCTGTCCCACAGCAGTCCGTGGTCACTGCCGGTAGTAAATGATAGCACTGTTGCTATGTTTCAGATCATACAGACTTTATCGAACAGGACGAAGTGCATCTCGTTCTTCATCGTCACATAGATTCATCTCCTGTTGGTCTTCTTCTTGAACCGTATGTTTCCAATGTAAAAGTACTTTGTTTCTGCCATGGTCGCCAGCTGATCTCGTCACTTATTTCGCTCTCCGTTCCGTATCTACTGACAAATTTTTCGCCGGCCCTTGCTCGTGAGCCTTTGACATGGAAGTCTCCCATGATGAGAGCATAAGTGGACTTGAGATCAACGCCTATTCCAGTTCTTGAGAGAATTCTTCCACTTCTAGTCTTCAAGAATCATCTTCTTATTCAGTTTGAGGCGCGCACTCCCAGTCGAGGTTACCTTTATGGCAGGAAACGATTTTGAACATTAGCTTTTGCTGATTACAAATCTAATTGCTCCTATGTTCTTCGCGCCCTCTCCTCTTCCTAGCCAAATCGAACTACCGTCTTCCCAGATGCCATTCATCTCTTTCAGCGTTGGTGTCTTGCAGAGGCCAATGAAATCGCAGGTCATCCTGACCTTACCTCCATTAGTTGGTTTAGCGTCTTTTCCCTTCCTTGTGTTTTACTGTTGTAGGTGCCAACGGGTCAGTTTGCAAAATCGCGACTCTTCAACTGCGAGTCTTAGAAGCCCATCGTCAGTCGAATATCTAACCGGTTAGAGAGACGCAGAGAATACAGAGGTTCATTTATTCGTGTTGTCGTAGAGCATGATTTTTTTCCATCCTTTGGCATTGGGAATTTCTAACAAATGAGTGCTGAATTTTGTTCGGCGTGTTATCGTTAAATTGTCTCTTCTAGCTACTGACGAAGCGAAATCTAAGCGCAAGGTAGGGGTTGATATTGGCGTCTGTTTTCCTTAAAGGACGGGTTTTTTTCGTCTCTACATGGGACTGTCATTGGCATTGTAATTACTTCTCCGATGATCAAATTTATCATGCTCGAACGCGACCACTCCCTGGTAATCTCATTTCGTTACTGCCTGTGCGCAACTGCATATCTGTCATAGTCAACTTCCATATCGAGGGGTTGTTCTCCTATCCACATACTCGGGGATGAGCCAGATGGCCAGCAGTACGGCACACTGGTAATTTCCATTCATATAGTGTATGATATACTTGCTACCATGCCTGCAGAGCATTGTTCGTTTTTTGCATGTTTAAACTTATGCTTTCAGCAATACCTTTCCCCATTCGAAAACCAGGAACTTGCCCGTCTAATGTTCGTGAAGGTAAGCTGTCCCAACCTCCTTGCACATACGACAATGAATGTCCGGAGCGCTTGAAATGCTGCGGTCCATCGGGAAAAAAGACCTGCATGATGCCACATATGTCAACGCCTAGCAAAAAGATGAGAAAATGTCCCCCGATGAGCGCAAACGTTACAAGCTCATTTTATTGCCAGTCAGACGAGGACTGTCGTGCGAACCTGACATGTTGCAATACCGTTCGTGGCAAGGTATG